AACCCGAAACCTTGGTCCAAGCTCAAGAGCGGCCGCGAAACCTTCCGACGGATGTGGAAGTGGCTACAGGAGCCCGAGTTTCAAAGAATGTCGGCTTTGCGGCTAGCAGGTTAGTCCATCCGTCCCGATCTTTCCATCTCCTCTCCGTATATATATATATATATCTATATCTATATCTATATCTATATCGATATCTATATATACATATATATATATATAAAACACGCTCCTTTTTTTCCCCTTTCTGTCTCCTTTCCCTCCCTCCCTTTAAGCCTCCTTTTTTGCCAATCTCTCTTAACGAATTAACGAAACAACTCGATATGATACGATACGACGCGTGTCGTTACGTCGTATCGTATAGTCTATGATATAATAATCAGCGTAAATATAACCATAACTTTCTAATCGAACGTGCTATCTCGTCTCGAACGTCGCGCGCACTCGCGCGCGCGTCAAAAGTTTCTGATTTCGCGTTGAAAAATATATATCGTTGTCGTTCCCCTAACTCGTAACTTTCCAACGTAGTGAATTTATCGCGATTTCTCCATATCCATCTTCTTTTTTTTTTCTTTTTTTTTTCCTCTTTCTCTCCTTTCGAACCGAAACTCTAAAGCTCTATAACTCCACGCCGAAAATCGCGCTTCCAAGCTTTCCGATTTAGCCGAGTCTCCCGATAGGTTTAACTGACTAAAGGACGCTCTTCACTCTCGACAGTGGAAAAAAACTAGACTCGAGAGACTTTCTCTCACTCACCCTTTAATGTTTTAGATATTAAATAAATTTCGAGTGAAATGTTCGATATGTATATATATATATATATATACATATACACGTTTGCAACGGGGGATACATACAGGGAGAGATATACGGTGTATATGTAGAGGCGTAAAATCGCGAAGGCGTAACGTAACGCCGCGGAACGGCGAAACGAAAGCCGAGAGAGTCGAGAATGTTTCGGATCCCGGGACCACGGACGAAATCCGTACGAGCGCGTGCACGACGCGCGTAAGAGACGCGGGCGGAAGAGCACACGTGGCACCCACGTGGAGAGGCGTTCCCTTCCATATCATTCAGAGATAGACGCGCGGAATAACACTTTTCGAATTCAACATCCTTTGCCCCGGCACAACACCGCGTACAGGTATTGATCGTGGTCACGCGGTGTTGGCCGTGGCGCGCATGCGCGACCTCGCCGACGCCATGTTGGCCATGCCGCCGCCACGCTGTCCGCCATCCCCTCTCCCGCCCACCGCCAACCCTTATTCGCCGCCGCGTTATCTACGCGATTTCGCGCCCGCGTGCGTGCACCCGCTCGTCGCGCGTTCCCCCTCATTCCCCACGCGTTTTTCGCGTCGAATATGTCCCGAATATTCATCTCTTCGCTTCTTCTCGCGATTCCTTTCGACGAGAGAGAGAAGACTTTCCAATCGTTGGATTAAACGCGTTTCCAGTTTTAGAGGAGGGAGCGAAGAAATCAAACAGCGTTTTTTTTTTTTGATTAACGATCGATGATCCAAGTTTCTAGCTTCGCTTTCTTCGATTGTACTCGAGTATTATTCGAGCTTAAATTAGATATTCGATGTTGTAACTCATCTCAACACCTATATGATTCGAATCGAAAATTTTGTTTCTTTGTTCCCAAATTTAATTCTAGTTGACCACAAGATAGAAGATAGACGACGAGTTTTCTTTACATCCTTTTTTGCAAACGGCAAAGAATGTCAAGAGAGAAAGAGAGAGAGAGAGAGAGAGAGAGAGAGAGAGGGGTCAGAAATAAGAAAAGCAAACTCGCGTTCAGGGAGGACAAACATTTCTCCTCAGGCATCGAGCTCTTTTCTCACCCTCCTTTCCGCCTCCCGTTCCTTTTGTACGATGGCAAAGGCGTAAAGATAATGTCGAGAAGAGGGGTAGAGGAGAGGGACAGTAACTATTCTGCAGCCAGTCGAACCTCTCTCTCTCTCTCTCTCCCCCTCTTCCCTCTTCTTCCCTCTTTAAAGGCTCACGTAAGGGACGCCTGGCAGAGGGGAGGGAGGGAGGGAGGGAGGGTGGAAGAAAAGGTGGCAGTGGCAAAGGGTTCGTCGAGGAAGACAATACTCGGAGAGGAGGAGGAGAGGAAGAAGAAGAAGAAGAAGAAGAAGGGTTCGATCCAGTGCCCTTCAGATTAGAAGTCCCCAGTTGCCATTGTTTCCCACGTTTCTCGTGTCTCGTTCCGTCTCCCCAAGTGTCGCCCCTGTCGTCTCATTAAAAACACGTTCGAAATGCTGGCGCGCGCGCGCGCGCGCTCAGTACAGGTGGTGGTGGTGGCCACTCTCCCCTCTCCCCTCTTTCAAACTTTTCGTTCAAAAATTTCAACGCTCATCTTGCCCTTTCGTAATTTTTGTCCGTTACAATTTCTTTGTCGATTGTCCTTGTCCTCTTCTTCTTCTTCTTCTTTCTTTCGATATACGTATACGTTAAATTTTTTTTCCAAACGTTTAACGGAATCGAAGAAAGGCGACACTAGCATGCACGAGTTGTGTGTAATGCACACAACCTCGTAAATGATTCAGAGCTCGGGGGATCGATGGGAAAGCGGTGCTAATTCCAGTCCGGCGTATCTTCGCTTCGTACGCTTCGCGATATAATGGGCGAGCGCGTAGTTGTAGTAATACACGTCGTATCGATCGTGCCGCGAACTTCGAGGAAACAAACGCGTTTCACCGCCGTTTTCTTCTTCTCTTTCGCGGTTGAAATCATCGCGATGGCCGAGCCTTCGATGGACTCGAACGAGTCCAATTTAGATCTATCTGTTGTACATTTAGGTAAAAAAAAAAAATACTCGAAGCATCGTATCTCCTTTTGATTATAATAACAAGATTTTTCTAAATGTATCTCGAGCTCGATTAATTCGAATAATTTTTCGCCTCGATTCGAACGTATATTTTCGTATATACTTTTGACATAATCGTTTCGGTTTCTGTGTAATATTTCGTGTAAGGAGGCCAAACGATCTTCTCGATCCGACATAAAAGTTTGAGATATCCTTTCGAAAATGATTCGGTACAACGTGTTTACCCGTAACAAGGTGTAATTTTAATGTTACTCTTTGATCGATCGTAAAATAGCATTTTTTCCCCCTCTCTCTCTCTTCGTGCCCGATCTATTCGCGGAAAACGTCACTGGCGACCTCGTTATCACGCCCGACACGTAACCTTGCGGCGATTTCTTTCTTTCTCCCGAAAGAAGAAGAAGAAGAAGCCGCTTAATTTAAACTTCGTTAACCGCGGTTTCGAGATTTTTTTTTTTAATTTTTCTCGAGATTTCACAGTTAAATAAATTCGATCCTATAAAATTAAAATTACTTTAAATCGTAGAATATTTCTCCAATATAATTTCTTCCTTCCGTGTTCGATAGAAATTCCAATTAAAAATTAACCCTGTTGTTGTTAAATTTGTCCATTGCAAAAATGATTCGTTCGATAATGATCGTCTCTCTCTCTCTCTCTGTTGACTGTCATTCGCGCGGTTAATCGCGCTCCATCGAAGTTATCGATCGTTGAAACGGGTCAGGTACATTAGTTACAGAGGCAACGGGACTCCCGTGTCCACGTATTATTTACTTTCCCCCACCAACACGTGTCATTATCCACTCCGATTTCGGTTCCCGTGCCAACATTTTTCCTCAACCCGACTCGAGTCGAAAACAATTTTCGTGCAATCTTTTTTCCATCGAGGATTAAGGAATTAAGGAAAGAAAACGAATTCTTCATAATCTTCGACTCCTCCTCGAAAAGCGATCTTCCAATCCGGATAGGTGGCCCGTACGAATAAAAAATTACAGATGCGAGTGACAGCTGGGTGGAAAAGGTGTCGTTCGCAGGGTGGAGGATAAAAGGAGGGAGGACGTCAAGTGACGTCACGACGTCCCCTCGTGGTACCCGCATCATCTGTCGTCCGTGGAACCGTGTGGTTCGAGGCGGAAAAGAAAGGAAAAAGGGGTAAAAAAATTTCGAGGAGAGGAGAGTGAATAGATTCGATAGATTTCGATTTCGAGGAGCGAGAAGAATTTCCTCCTTCCCTCTCTCTCTCTCTCTCTCTCTCTCTCTCTGCTCCCTCGTGACCTCGATTTCCAACGGTGGCTCCTCTGATAACGCCACCCCCTCCTCCCTCTTCCTGGCCGCTCGCCGCCAGCTGCTCCCGTTTCGATTCTATCCGATTCAGAGGTGTTGCGAGAGGGTGTCTTCGCCTCTCCTCCGATGTTGAAACTTGTTCGGGTGGAAAGAGGTGGTGGCCACGCAGATTTTGGGTCGAATATTTACCTTCGAGTTTGAGGGGGGGGAGAGAGGATTGTGGCTGCCTGATCAAGCAAGAAGCAACTGCCAACGCAGTTGGAGAAGATTTAGTTTCGATTTCGAAGATTGGAGGAAGGGGGGAAGATTAAGAATCGAGGATCCTTTTAGAATTCGAGAAAAGAAGAGGGATAGATTTTAAAAATTTCTTCTGATTTTTCAACATTTTTTTCACAGTTCTCTTCTCGTAGTTGAAAAAGGGATGAAGATAATGGATCTCGATTCATCGAATTCCATCTACAAATTCGTTCCTTCTCCTTATATATTTCGCATAAGAACATATTTCTCCTTCCGTCTTTTTATTTTGGACGACGACTTCGTTCGATTCATCATCGTAAAGTAAATGGAAAAGAAAAGAAAAAAAAAAAAAAAAAAATGGAGCGTTGTCGTTTCTTTTAACTAGATTTTTAAGGGGGCAGGAGGATTAATCGTAGTCGAGAATGGAGGAGGAGAAGAGTCTCATGGGAGGAGGGGCGCTGGAGCACGTGCTGCACGCGTTTTCTCTCGCCTCTCGGACGATAAAGAGGGGGGAGGAGGAGGAGGAGGAGGACCGCCGCGGTTTCCGGCCCGTGGTCACAGGACAATTATTTTCCCCCTGCCTAGCGGAGATATGGCACTTTTTCCAACTATAGAGTGCCTCCCCTCCTCTCTATACGCTCCATTATCAATAACAATAATCGAAGAAATTTCCTCGCAAATTTTCGAGATATGAAAATTTATTCGAAATTCACTTTCCTCGGATTCGAAGGAATCTCGTCGATCGATGCCGATTATCGATGAT